CCCCTCCGGGTGGATGCAAGCGCAGTTCTTCCAGGTGGGCAGGGCCTACGGCGCCTGCCTCCTGCTCTACTACCTGGCCTTCCTCTGCGTAGCCCTGCTGACGGAATTCAGGGTGATCCGGCTCGCCGCCCTCTGACCGGCCCCGGGTGCCCAGCCCCGGGTCTCGCCCTGCCTCCCGCCTGGCTCGGCACCTCCCTGTCCCCTGGCCCTGTCCCTGACAGGAGGATGAGGCCACCTCGACCCCCACCCCACCATGGGCCGGCCCAGCCCTCAGCCTTGGCTTTCTGGAGGGGGTTGTTTGAGCTTTGGGAGAGGAAAAGGCGCTGGCAGTCATTAGCCGCATCCTCTCCTAGCTCTGTTTAATGCTCTAAGCTGGGGTGAGGTCAAGAACTCGGTTTCCTCCGGTGCTGGTGGCAGAGGAGAGGGCAGCTCCAGCCCAGGGTCACCACGGGAGGGGTTTTATCTCTTCAGCTACTTCACCTTGCCCTCCCCGTCTCCATCCTGGGCTGCTCTGGGACAGGGTTAGGGCAGCTGGGCTGCACAGGGCAACTCTGCGAGGGTCTGAGCACAAGTTTGTCACTGCAGAGGACAGGACGTGCTCCCAGCCCGGGTGTGAAACAGCAGCCGAGGCAGAGCGAGGTGTGGTTAAGGTGAGACAAAGCTCCAGGGCAGTGCTGGGACTGAGTGCAAGCAAGGCTGGAGGAAAGGAACCACCCCCACCAAGGGAGGCTGGTTCCCCTGCTCTTTTTAAGCTGTTCTTCAACCTGAGTTTCAGATCCTACTTTCCTCCTTCTCAAGGGGCCAGAGCTGTAGGAAAGGACTTGGAGGATTCCACACACAGTGCCAGGCCCTGGCAAGACTAGGTTTAGACACTGTAAAAAAAAAAAAAAAACACAACAACAAAACAAACAACAAACAAAACCCCAAACCCTGCAATTAAAACCAAACCCCAACCCAGCGCTGACTCAGGCTGTTTGCTGTGAGGGTGATTTCTTCTCCTGACCCCTTTGGAGGGGCAGAGGGGGTGGTGGTGCTGAGCCAGCAGCCACGGAGGGGCCTGACACGCTGGGTGGCTTTCCCCAGCAGCTCGGGAAGTGGTTTCCTGCGGGGTCACCACAGGCTGGTTTCTCAAGAGCAGTCACATGAGCCTGACGCGGCCGTTGAGCCGCACGGTCGGGAGCTGCAGCGGCACGGGGGTCCTGGCACGGGTGCCACTCAGCCCCACCGGGGAAGAGGAGGGGGTGGGCTGATGCTTCTGCCCTGTCTGAGGGTCTGCAGGGTGTGGGCCAAACCCAAACTGCCGTTGGGGACAGGCAACCCCATCTCTGCCCCGCAGGGGGAGAGCGGCTG